CAATTGGTGAGCTTAGAATCCCTCAGATTTGCATATCTGGCACCTCATGATTGGTCCACAAAAGCAACCAATCATAACCCACCTTCTACAATCCTTCATTAGCATATAGGACAACCAATCATGACCCACCAATATGTATATAACCATGATCCCTGGCCCACTATAAACGGATGACCCTGAAGAGTTGTAACACTGTGTCGTCCCATGTTGTAACATTGTGCCATTCATCCCGTCTCTCACTCTTTCCCTCAGGAAACCTGTTCGACTGTCCTGCAGGTCAGGACAAGGTACTGAAGGGAAACTCCCAGGCTGAAGGTGCCGGCACACAAGTACTCTGACACAGTGTTCGAAGCCAACGTGCGGACACTTGTACAGGCTGTACCCACATACAGCACCCCAGCAAGGGGAGGAAATGTAATGAGGGTGACATCCAACCCATACTTCACTACCCGACCTGTTGCAGGACAGCATGCATACTGAAGGAAAAGACTGTCCAACACAAAATTGCTAAAATGACTAACATGGTCCTGAAGTTACTGGTGTAAGTATTTTTTAATTATTATTATTTTGTAGGGAACATTTTAATAATACAAAAAAAAACTTAAAAGATATATATTTTTGATCCATATTATCTTACAGTTTAAAAAACATTATTCTAAGGAAGTAATTGAAGATATACATACAGCTTGGGTTATAAAAGCTCATGTATCAGGGCCTAGTAGTGACATGGTGGTTAGGATGTTGTAATCCCACATGGCCAACCACGGTTCAAGTCCTGGACCTGGTGGCTTGCTTTCTCACTTTTTCTCTCTCTCTCTCAGTGAGGGCATGTACCCTGTAGCAAAATTTAAAATAATAATAGTGATAAATAAAATTAAATAAACAATTATTTTTAAAAAGGTGAAGAAAATAATTTTAAAACATCATTGGGACCAGCAGATGGTGTAATGGTTATGTCACTGGACTCCTACGTAGTCAACCACAGTTCGAATCCTGGATGGGCAGCTTAAAACTCACGCTGGACGCGTGTGTGGGCGTGTCCAAGATCCCAAGAGCAGAATGGAGGAGAAGAAATTGTGGCATGGCAATCCCTTCAGGGGGTGATTTCTTGCTTTCTGTCTGTCTCTCTCTTAGTCTCTCTGGTGAGCGCACATGCCATATAGAAAAAATCTCTCTGGGACAAGCAAGTGGCATTATGGCTACGTCGCTGGACTCCCATGTAGTTGACTATAGTTTGAGTCCCGGATCCAGAGGCTTAAACTCATGCCAGGCGCATGCGCATGTGTGCCCAAGACCCGGAGGGGGTAATAGAGGAGAAGGGATTGCAGCGTGGCCATCCCCCCTGGGGGTTGATTCCTTGCTTTCTGTCTCTTTCTCTGTCTCTCTCTCTCTCTGTCTTTCTGGTGAGCGCACACACCCTATGGCAAAAGCCTCTCCAAAAAAAGGAAAAAATCTCTCTGAAAAAAAATCATTATCAGTGCTCATAACAGGAAAAAATATGGCCAGCATATAGTGTAGCAATTACATCACTGGACTCCCACATGGCTGGTCGCGGAGTGTGTTTGGGACCTGGAGGCTTGAAATTCATACTGGGTATGTGTGTGCATGTGTACAGGATGCCAGGAGGAGAATGGAGGAGAAGGAACTGTAGCTTGGCCATCCCTCGGGGGGGTGGGTGATTTCTTACTTTCCCTCTCACTGTCTCTCTCTCTCTTACTCTCTCTCCAACAAGCACGTGACCTAAGGCAAAAACCTCTTAAAAAAAAAAAAAGGAAAAACCTAAAATATCTGTTATGTTCAGTAATAGGGCATTGGCCACTATACAACACTATATACAATTAAAATAATACAAGAGAAATACGTTCATTAATTACTACACTCTTCACAAAACAGTAAAAAGGAATGACAAAGTTTAAAAAAAAAAAAAGAACCTGGCCCTATGGTCTAGTAGTTAAGGGAGCGAAATGCCACATGGCGAACTGTGAGGTTTGAATCCCAGACCCACTGGCTTGAAAAATATACTGGGCATTTATGAGTGTGTGCTCAAAATACTGAAAGAGGAAAGAAGAGAAGGGATTGTGGCATGACCATGCCCCACTAAGGAGCACCTTACCTTCTCTCTCTCTCTCTCTCTCTCTTTCTCCCTCCCTCCCTCTCTCCCTCTGTCTTTCTCTTTCTGGAAAGCACATGTGCCCTCTGGTATTTAAAAATAAACAAATAAATAAATAATTTTTTAAAAATTATACAGTCAGGACCAGCAGGTGACGTGGTGGTTAAGGCGCTGGCACTTCCACATGACCAACCACCATTCAAGTCCTGGACCTGGTGGCTTGCTTTCTCACTTTCCCTCTCTCTCTGGTCAAATTAAATGAATTAATAAATTAAATTAAATAAATAAATCTTTGAAAAAAATCATATAATCATTTGAGTACAAATAATATGACTATATATTTTATATATAATATATCCAGGTGACAGGGGAGTGAAGAGGAGGGATAATACTAGAAAATGGGCCTATAGGTTAATTTTCTCCTTTGTTCTTATTTTCATAAATTTTCCTTTAAGACATATATAATAAAAACTTTAAAAAATAAAAACAAACAACAAAAATCACAAGAGGCAAATATACTAACACAAAGTTTAAGAACCATTAGATACCAACATTTTATTTTGCCTCTTTACTTGGAATTACGATATTTGATTACCATGATTTAAATTCAGGCAAGAGTTACCTTGTTTCATGTAGAATTCAGAAAGCCAGGTCATTCTACCATAAGGCCCAGGTTGAGAACCACGGCCCAAAAATATAGGTACAAAGCACAACTACCCTAGATATCTTTAGATAACAGAAACTTAAATGAATATTTCAAAAATAAAAAGCATTTTATTTATGTTACAACTTTTGAAGAAATAGAATTCTTTTTTTTTTTTTTTCCTAAGAGGTTTTTGCTATAGGGTGCGTGTGTTTGCCAGAAAGACAGAGAGACACAGAGAGACAGAAGGTGAGAAATCACCCCCTGGGGGGTGATGGCCACACTGCAACCCCTTCTAATCCATTCTCCTCTCAGGATCTTGGGCATGCATGCACACACATCTAGCATGAGTTTAAGCCACCAGGTCCGGGACTCAAACCGTGTTTGACTACATGGGAGTCCAGAGACATAGCCATTACACCAACTGCTGGTCCCGAAAGAAGTAGAATTCTCAACATAAGAAAGAAAACTAGTCCCTGACAACTGGAAGTTGGCCTGGCACTATAAGCTAGACATCAGCATACTCACATGAAACTTAATCCACTTGTGGGGCCAGAAGATGGCATAGCAGTTATGTTACTGACTCCTACGTGGCTGACTCTGGTTCAAGTCCCAGACCCAGTGGCTTGAAATTCATGCAGGGTGCATGTGCATATATGCCCAAGATCCCAGGAGGAAAATGAAGGAGAAAAGATTGTTGTGTAGCTACTCCTCTGGGTGTGATTTCTCACTTTCCCTCTCACAGTCTCTGTCTCTCTCTAGCAAGTGCACATGCCCTAAGGCAAAAAAAAAAAAAAAAAAAAAAAACCTCTATACAAAAAAAAAAAATTTAAATCAAAACCATAAATTACCTCACAGAACACCAACATTAGATGAGGCCATTCTGTGACCACAATGGGTCAAGATAAAAACAAGACCACTTGTAATCATGTCTAAACATGATCATCATTCTAGCCACAAAAATAACCCAATATAATTTCACTTCGGCTAATATCAGTGACTTGTTTCTTTACCAATCACAGCTTTAGTTTTGCTCCATTCTTCTTCCCTTCTTGACTCTTGAAATATCTCAAAATCATCTGCACTTCCTAACAGTATCCGAACCAATGCAAAGCCCACTTCCTTATACTTCCCCCAAATCACTTAAGACTAGCCCAAATCCTTCTGGTTGCTCCTGACACACACTCTTCCTTGTTATAATAAGTCAATAAACTCATCTCTTCTAACTACAGATATGTTCCTGGTAGTCTTCCAAGGAGGGAAATGACATGAGTTGGGACTAGAGACTTGAGCAGGAGTAAAGTAACAAAATGATACAAAAGTACAACTAACAGATCAGTTAACATTCTACATAAAGAGGTCTTTTAATACTTATTCTACCATGAGTTCCTACAAACTTGGAATTCCCAGTATTTATCAGACCTGTTGATGCTGACTAAACAAATACACAAATTTCAAATAAAATTCTCAGTTACTTGGTTTTCCATCCATCTGAACAAAAAAAAAAAAAATCCGAATTTGAGAATAAAATATGAAAGGTAAATAAACTCAACCCTGGGAATAATACCTAGAATTATAAATCCTCTAACTTAAGCATGTTATTTTCAATTAATTAGTTCTTGAATAAGTTTCTAAACGCAATAATAAGTTATAAAAATTCATTTATCTATCTAACACACGGGCATGATTTAATGGTAAACTGTAAATTACTCTCTCATTCACCAAAGTGAAACTTGTCCTAAACATCCTTACCTCCTGGGTCTTTATCTGGATTGTACTCTAAGGCGTTGCTACAGATGAGGTCAATATCTTTCAGGAAATCTTTAGCAGTCAGGTAATTATGTTTATCAATTTTTGTGATTACTGTTGATAAGTCCATTGGTTCTTTGATTACTTCAAGATAATCTGAAACCTAAAATAAACAGGATATTTTAGTGAAATTCCTTGTGGTTTTCATAGAAACCACTCAGTTCATAGAAACACAAAAACAGTTCTCAAAAAAGTTAAATCTAGATATTTAGGAAATAATTACAGATAAGGATTAAAGTTACAGTGAAGTTAACTCTCTGTCACACTTTCCATGAAAAGTTTTAGTTGCCAAATCATAGCTAAATCAACTCTGAAATTTTCCTCATCTAGAAACTTAAAACAAAATGTGTCAGCTTCTTTTCTTTTCTTTTCTTTTTTTTAATCCTTTCGGCATTTCTGGAGGAGAATGTATGGGCAAAAGCACCTAATAAGCATCAAAAAATGTTACCTCAAGGAAAGAAAAGGAAAATTTTTAAAAATAAGCTTTTCTTCCATTAGAGAGGTTATTCTTGTAAATCTCTTAAAATTTCTCAACAAAAATGTACTTCCTATTACAATTATCTAGAATACATCGTTTCATGGAAAGTATTTTTCACTCCTTTGGAGTCATTACAAATATTCAAGTTGATTATATTAAAAAAACTAATTACTGCCTTTATAACTTATATAAATTTTGCTTGGCTGTCAGTAAGAATAAACAAATCCACAAACAAACAACAAACAAACAAACATCTTGCTCTGTGTGCTGATTTTCTGGGACATAACCCAAAATAGGAGACATTGAATCATGAATTTGCCCAGTAAGTTTTATATTACTCAGCTGGTAAAAGAACTAGCAACCTATATACCTACTGCCTTCTCCAATGCAAATCTCTTGTCAAGTAATTCTGTTTGTTATAAAAGCAGTCTTATGGGACCAGCAGTTAGTGTAATGGCTATGTCACTGAACTCCCATGTAGTCGACCGCGGTTCAAATCCCAGACCTGGTGGCTTTTTAAACTCAGGCCAGGTGCGTGTGCGTGTGTGCCCAAGATCCTGAGAGGAGAATGAAGGAGAAGGGATTGCGGTGTGGCCATCCCCCCTGGGGGGTGATTTCTCGCTTTCTGTCTCTCTGTCTCTCTCTGTTTTTCTGGTGAGCGCACATGCCCTATAGCAGAAACCTCTCCAAAAAAAGAAAAAAAAAATCATTCTTAGTAGCAATAACTAAAATAGTCCAGTGATTTGTGGAAACAGGATAATTTATCTTTTTAAGATAGGGTCTTTCCATGTTGTGATCTCCTGCCTCTGCCTCCATGAGTTACTGGGATCCCAGGTGTGTCCTACTGTACCTGGACATTGAACCCAGGCATCCTGTGTGTCCCCATAGCCTGCGGAGCAGTTTTAATATCAGATGTCAGCACAGCTCAGCCTGAAGATGGGGTAAATCCTGCCCTATTGAAGAGTTAGTTTCCTTATAGCTTCAGACGGCATCCATGCTTTATGGCTTTCTAATTTACATACATAAATCTGCGTATACATAATTTATGTGTCTATTTTTTCAATGCTAAAATTAGTTCTAAAAATATTAGGTAGGAATGTGTGTGTGGGTACATTTTAATTTCTTTCTTGGCCTCTAGAAGCCACGAAAAATCAAGTTAATCTTCTTATAGGTGTGGAATTGGGGCTCAACCAGAACAAACCATAGTTCAGAACTATGAGTTGGATTCTTGGTTCTGGCATTTGGCATGACCTGTGCACAAGGAGAAACTTTATTTATAAACGTAAGAGCACTATAAAAACTTTTTATCATTAAATATTATAAAATTTTAACACCTATGCTTAATTTTAAATTCAATACTTTTTCTTTCTTTTTTGGATGCTGAAACCTGGGACTCAGGGGCCAGCAGGTGGCGTGGCAGTTAGGGGCACTGGACTCCTACATGGCTGACCACGGTTTGAGTCCCAGACCTGGTAGCTTGTTTTCTCACTTTCCCTCTCTCTCTCTCACTCTGTCCCTCTCTGGTCAAAATAAAGTAAATAAATAAAGTTAAATAATTCTTTAAAAAAAAAAAAAAAACCTGGGATTCAGTGCTAATTTTCTAAAGCTTTGTTTTCTCTACCATCTGCTTTGGGATTTGATGAAGTTTTTAGACACTTCAAATTCATAAACTGATATATTTTAAGTTATCTAAGTGTTATCCTTGTTTTCTCCACTCTATCTTTCCCAGAGATTTGGATTTTTTCAGCTTTGAGAACAGACAAAAGCCAGCAGCAGAATAAACCTAAGAAGAAGAAAGGAGAAAACAAGAGAAACATAATCCTTAAGTAAAATTTTTATCTGACCAGTATTTCCTACTGCCTCACACTCCCACACTATCACGCATAGAACTTTTACTCTATCACAGGTGTCATTTGAGATCTGACAGTCTTTTCTGGTAAAAAAAAAAAAAAAAGAACATTTTCCTGAGCAAAATCAATATAGGTTTATTCTCAGCATAGGAGGTTTCCCTGGGGACAAGCTCTTATCCTTTAAGAAGTGTCAGAGTCTAAACTACCAAACAGGTAGGACAGATAAATTTATATATGTATTAAACATTTTATATATATATATATACACACACACACACACACATATATATATAGCAATCATTAGAACTGGCTAATTTTAAGATGGTCTGAAAATACTATGAGAGAAAAAAGTCCTCCACAAATACAATGTGAAATGTATAACTTAGCAAAGTAAATCAAGTATGTTCTATTATCTCAGTGGAAAAAGATAAGGCAGCTATGACATCATGTAAAGAACGTAGGTTTTAAATTTTACAAAACTTCCAGGCCCAATGCCGTGCTTCGAAGGCTAGGCTCACAGGGAGAAGGCTTGGATCAAGTCCTGGTCTAACTTAAAGGCCAGGCAGTGAGGTGTACCTCTAACCCAGCACCCTGGAGAGCTGAAGCAGGAAGACCACAAGCTTGAGACTGGCCTTGGTGACACAGTGAGATGCTGCCTTAAAACAGCTGGAGGCAGCAGCATAAGCCTGTGGTCTCAGCTACTTGGGGAGGCTGAGGTAAGAGAATGGGAACACAGATCTTGTTGTTTTTTTGGGTTTTGTTTTTTATAAACAAAAAATTCCAAGTCCTGAGTATGTCACTTGCTGAACAAGCCTCAATTTCATTAACTGTAAAGTAAGAATAATGACCTTGCGAGGTTGAGAGGATCAAATGAACAAAACTACATTATGGATAAATATAAATAAAATTATAGTCCCTTTATTCCTAAAAAGGAAAAAATAGATCATTTCAGATTTGCCAGGGGGTGAAAATGTAAGGCTAACTCATTCTTCCCAGTGACAGAAGAGGTAATGATTCCAGAGGAATCTGCTCCAATCCAGAAGCACAGATTTCACAATTAGGACGCAACACTAAACGCTGAGCCACTTCATAATTTAAATTTTAAAAAACATAAATGAAGAGAAAAGTCAAAACTGAAAACACCGACACTGTTCAAACATGGAGTCTGAACTATAAGAAGAAGGCTAGTAAAGATTACATTTTGTTCATCCACAAACTATATTATCCCAGGATAAAAAAATAAAAAAGAACTTTAAAAAAAAACCAAAACAATAAAAATCAACAGTATTATAGTAGATTCCAAATGGAAAATTTCTTTTTTTCATCATCACAAACCATGCTCCCACAAGTACACAAAATAATACACGTAGAAAGTGAGAAATTTTCCACTGATAGCAAAGAAAATCATTGGAGAGAAAAGTAGTTTTAGTTGCATAGGATGTGCTTAAATTCAAACAGCATCTTAGCCACGAGCATTCCAAAATAGGAAAGACAAAGAAGTTTCAATTTCCTAAGCCACCTCTTATAACAAGGTATACAGAATTTGGGAAATGCCAATATTAATCAGTATTCATTGCTTAATTCCAATATACTTCTTGAAAGCAGGATTTATCCTGGAATAAAAATAGTCTAGTATGGACATTTCACTAAAATAACTTTTAATCCTCTTCTTAAATTGAAGAGTAAGAGATTACAAAGATCAGTAATATTTAAGAAAACATAAAAATTGGTCACTAATTTCATCCAAAAGTCACCAGATGTTTGCTGATGACACTGGTAGTTATCACATGGATTAAAAGTTTACAGGCTAGGGTAATATTCATCCATGCCTTTGCTTTTTTTCCTTCCAAAAAAAGATGTCAATATTTTTTTTTCTTTTAGCCAGTTCAACTTCACTGTTTGCACACTACTGAAACAAGACCTCTTCAATATCCACCGGTTTGCTGAAGATGTTAAAGCGTTTATCTGTGGCCAGCCTCTTGGTCACATCCCTGAGAAACAACCGCAACTCTCTTAAAGTATTTTCCTCCTGGTCCTCCATCCGACTTTTTTCTGATTCTGATAACTGACGAGGTGGAGAAGGTAGTGCAAGTGGAAGCACTTCCATAGCACAAAGAGCTAAAGAAAACAGAAGCAAATGTTAGGTTTCCAACAGAGGGAGTCAACACCTCAGTTATTTTACTGACATTCTCTCAAAAGGAGAGTAAGAAGTATATATAAACTATGTAAATCCACAAGTAAAAATCTGAATGAAGACAAAGGTAAAGAATAGCTTTTACTCATAATGAGACCTCGTTAAAAAACAAATGATAAAGTTTTAAATATTTCATTATGAAATATTATATAGTGAGAATTTAATGAGAAATACTTTAAATCAACATAAATATCTTCAAATAAAGTACTATTTCTCTTTTTTTCAGTCAGTCTTGTTTAAAAACTGCTTCTCAAAATGGGATTACCTAAAATGCACGCAAAATATAATGGGCAATTAACAATTCCTTGATCCTTCGTGTCCCGCAGAATTCTGATTTTAGACAGGTCTCCTAGTCTTTGACCCTCATACTCAGAGTACAAACAACAGGGACAGTAAATTTTTTTAGGGAAAAAGCAAATAAAAAAGCATAAGCTGAAAAAGAATCCTGAAGACATGAAGGAGAAAGAAAACCAGAATAAGAAGTTATATATAAAAATGTATGGGACCCACTAACTACCCTAAGACAAACCAAAAACCTATTATACTTAAAAGGTAAAGTATTAACTTCCTAATCGTAATTGTTCTCTAATTCCTTAAAGGATTTTCCTAGTACCACACTAAAGCACAGGATTAAAATTCTAAGTATTTCCGATGATTTCTAAACAGCCCCCATAAGATGAAAAATGAAAATCAACAGAATCAACTCAGAAAGAAAAAGAATTATACAGGCTTAGCATCCCTAATCTGAAAATCCAAAATGTTCCAGAATCTGAAATGCTTTGAGAACTGACACAAGGCCACAAGTAGAAAATCCCAGAGCCAATCCTATGTGCCAGGTTGTCATCGCAAAGCTGCAATACAAAAATATTACATAAAATTACCTTCAGTCTAGGTACATAAGGTGTACACGACACATAAATGAATTCTGTACTTAGACTTGGGTTCTCTCCCCAAGATATCTCATTATGAATATGCAAATATTCTAACACCCAAAAAAGTCCAAAATCTAAAACACTTCTGATCCCAAGCATTTTGGATAAAGGATATTCGATCTGTACCCATTTTAAACATTAAAAAATTCATATCTATGCAATTAAAATATATCTTAGCACATCAAAGATTAAAATGAGTCAGTTTCATAATGAAATATCTGAACTACCGATATTTACATTAACAGGAAGCAAGGACCAATAATCAGAAGATGTAAGAAGACATAACTTAGACTCTGGCTTCTCCAAGGTTTCTAAAAGAAAAAAACCCGTAACTATAACAATTTGTTAGATGTTCATCTTAAAAACACTGAGAAAATTTGGGAATGAGCTACTAGAAGACAATAAAATTATCAAAACGTTAGATAATATAAACAACAAAAGCAAGCAAATAAAAGTAGAAAGAATACAGTAGAGATTTGGCAGGGACAGGAAATGTATTTAAGATCCTGCCAGAATGGCTATGGGAGATGTAAAAGACAGAATAGGGGAGAGAGGCTTAAAACTTGCTCCCAAATTAAACTGTTATTTGCTAGAAGAGGTTAAAAGATTAAGCAAGATTACGCGTCTTTAAGATCAGAAAAGGAACTCTTTGGAAGTATAATATATAAGTGTGTGTGTGTGTGTATAAATTGGTTTTTCTTCATACACACACTCACACACACACACACTTAAGTCAGGGAACTGAAAACTAACAAATTCTTGAGAACCCTAATAAAGCTGAGGCTAACCCAAGAAAAATTTAATGTTTAAAAAATAATAAATCAGAAAAGGCAAAGGCTCTAGGCTCTAACCATCTCTTAGCCCATCAAACCTACCCTGGCCTACAAACCAAGCAGCACAACACCTGGTGTTCACGCCTCCCAGTTCAAACCCTGGCAACTACAAGTGATTAATACAGAGTAGAACTGAAGACTTCTTTAATTTGTCCACTCTCGGAATGTGAAATCCACCGGAAGATGAGGGTTGGAGTGGTATGGAACTCAGTTTAGGAAGCTTTAACAATGACACTGCACTTCCTGATCTCCTCCAGGTCAAGTGAACAAAAGTAAACAGAACCTTCTCCACTTCCATGGAGAAAGGATTTAAAAAAAAAAAAAAAAAAAAAGACTCTTAAAAAGGGTAACAACGACCAGCAGTTAACGTAATGGCTATGTCGCTGGACTCCCACATAGTCGACCACGGTTCAAGTCCCAGACTCAGTGGCTTAAACTCACGCCGGGCGCGTGTGTGTGTGTGCCCAAGATCCCGAGAGAAGAATGGAGGAGAAAGGATTGCGGCGGGGCCATCCCCCGAGGGGTGATTTCTTGCTTTCTGTCTCTCTCTGTCTTTCTGGCAAGTGCATGTGCCCTATAGTAAAAACCTCTCCAAAAAATAAAAGGGGGGGGGGTATTTCTTAATTCCATTCCCCCATGTTTCTAAAGGCTTTAGGATCTTTACCAGTGTGTTTCCTTCGTGGTGGAGCCATTGATGCCTGATTGAGAATCAATTCTTGGAAAAATTTTCTTCTGTCTTCTTCAATAGGCCTTTGAATATACAAGACCTCTTCATACTGTATTCTGAAGATACATTTAACCTACACATACACAAACACACACACAAAGACATTAATACACAGAGCATTAAAAGCTTACACGTTATGTCAAATTATAATTTATTCAACTTCCAGTATCATTTTCAATATCCACACAACATTTCTGTGAGGGTAGAATTAACCTAGTTCTGGGACCAGCAGTTAGTGTAATGGCTATGTCGCTGGACTCCCACGTGGTTGACCGCGGTTCGCGTCCCAGACCCGGTGGCTTAAACTCACACTGGGCACGTATGCGTGCGTGCCCAAGATCCCGAGAGGAGAATGGAGGAGAAGGGATTGTGGCATGGCCATCCCCCCTGGGGGGGTGATTTCTCACTTTCTATCTCTCTGTCTCTCTCTCTCTGTCTGGCGAGTGCACATGCCCTATAGCAAAAATCTCTTCAAAAAAAAAAAGAATTAACCTAGTTCTAGGGTATGCTGTTGAGAGATTTGACCTCAGGGACTAAACAAGAATGGAAGAATGTCCAGTTGCCCAAGTCACTAGTAAATGATATCATACCTAGGAAAATCATCAGATAATAGTAAAAAGGATAGCTGATTGTCAAAGTCACCTGACAGCAATCTCAAAGGGTTTTTATATAAGAGCTGAAAAGCAACTGCCTAGAATTTACAATAGAGAACTAAGAGGAAATGTTAAAAATACCTTCTCTTCGGTTGGTAGGTGGCATGGTGGTTAGGGACGCTGGATTCCCACATGGCCGACCTCAGTTCAAGTACTGAACTTGGTGGCTTGCTTTCTCTCTCTCGATCTCGCTCTGTCCCTCTCAGGTCAAATTAAAAGTAAATAAATAAGATAATTCTTTTAAAAAAAGAATATATATATTTTTTAAATGTCTTCTCTTATCCCTGTATTTCTGTGCTTCCTATCCATCAATTTCTCTTCCCTACCAACATCATTTCACTGTATACTTTGGAAATTCTAGTTCAGCTGCAAATAAACTATGTTTTCAGATTCTTCACAAAACAGTCCACAACGCCACCTTCTGCAAAAAACACTCCAGAGTAAAAGTAAGCCAGTCGTCCTCATATCCCTTAACTTACTCCATTTGATGTCTTTACAGAGCAAGTAAGTGGAGGAGAGGTGGGGAAAAACATTAATTCAAGACGACTCCCCTTCCAAGATACACTGGTTTTTTTGTTCATTTAGTTTATGCTATAGGGCACATACACTTGCCAGAGAAAGACAAGATATGGGGGCTCAAAGGGGAGAAGAGAGAAAGCACCCCCCTCCCAGGCAGATGGCCATACCATAATCCCCTTTCCTCCAGTCTCCTCTCAGGGTTTGGGGCATGCACACACATGGGCCTGGTGTGATTTTCAAACCACTGGGTCCAGGACTCAAATGGTGCAGCTGGTCATATGGATCCAGTACCTTAACCTTCATGTCACTTGCTGGCCCCCAAGGTATGCTATTTAAGTCCTCTTTACATCACTGACATTTTTTAAATTTATGTTTTTCTACAAGATCTATCTTCTGCCCTCTAGACACCAAACTCCCTAAGACCAGAGATCCTACCTTCCAACCTTTTTTTTTTCTTTTTTCAAATTTGCCAGAGGGCATATAAAAACAGAGACAGGGAGCAGAAGAAAGGATCCCCTAGTGGGGATGCTTTATTCACTCTATAATCTCTTCTCCTTCATTTCTCCATCCTGTTGGGATCTTGGTCATGCATGTGCAGATGCCTGGCATGTTTTTCAAGCTGCCAGTGCCAGGATTCAAACTGTGTGGTCAGCCATATGGGATCCGACTCCCTTACCCATAAGGCCATAGGACTGGCCACAAAACTTTTGACTGAACTGTACAGCTGCAGTTGACCACAGGAAACTAAAACTAAAAGGGGTAATATTTTATACTCAAAGAACCTTGTATGTACAAAATAGTTCACTATCTTTTCTGATTGGCTTATTTCAGTAAGCGTGATGTCTTCAAGTTTCCATGCTAGAGCATGAATCAAAATTTCCTTTCAGGGAACCAGCAGTTGGCGTAATGGCTATGTCGCTGGATTCCCACGTAGTCGACCGCGGTTCGTGTCCCGGACCCGGTGGCTTAAAAGTCACGCCGGGCGCGTGTGCGTGCGTGCCCAAGATCCCGAGAGGAGAATGGAGGAGAAGGGATTGTGGCGTGACCATCCCCCCTGGGGGGGGATTTCTCGCTTTCTGTCTCTATGTCTCTCTCTGTCTGTCTGGCGAGCGCACGTGCCCTACAGTGAAAATCTCTCAAAAAAAAAAAAATTTCCTTTCACAAGTAACGTTCCACTGTGCGTGTGTGTGTGTGTGTATGTGTGTGTGAGAGCGCGTGTGTGTATACATGCCACATTTAATTTATCTACTCTTTTGACTTTTTGTTTTTTAAGTTTTTGCCATAGGGCATGTGAACTCGCCGGAGAGAGACAGAGAGACAGTGAGAGATAAAGTAAGAAATCACCCCCTAAGAGTGATGGTCACATCACAATGCCTTCTCCTCTATTCTCCTCCTGGGATTGCATACACACATGCCCAGCATAAATTTCAAGCCAAGGTTCAGGACTCAAACTACTGTCGGCCATGTGGGAGTCCAGTGTCCTAACTACTATACCATCCGCTAGACCCTTGGCTACTGTTAATAATGCCATATGAAATAGTATACAAATACCTGTTCAAATCCCTGTTTTCAATTCTTTTGGGTATATGCCTAGTAGCTACATTGATGGATTACATGGTAGTTGTAAGTTAAATGTTTTTATTAAATTGTTTTTTAGTTGCCACAGGGTATGTGCTTGTTAAAGACAGAGACAGAGAGATGGGTATGGTCAAAATACAATTCCTTCTCTTCTGTTTCTCCATCCTATTAAGCATTGGGGCACACAAGCATAGACACCCAATGTGCTTTTCAAGCTGCCAGGGCCAGGATTTGAACTATGGTTGGCAATGTGGGATCCAACTCCCTTAAACAGTAGGCTATGGGGCCAGCCCATATATTAAAGTTTTTAAGGAGTTATCATACTGATTCCCATAGTGTTTGTACTATTTAATTTTCTTTTTCTTTTTTAAAGAGTTATTTAACTTCTATTTATTTACTTATTTAATTTGACCAGAAGAGAGAGAGTGAGAGTAAGAGTGAGGAAAAGTGAGAAAGCAAGCTGCCAGGTCTGGGACTCAAACTGCGGTCGGCCATGTAAGAGTCCAATGCCCTCAACCACCATGCCACCTGCTGGAGCCAGTACCATTTAATTTTTAATTTAAATAGTATTGGCAATGCACAGGATTTCAGTTTATCCACATACTTACCAAAGCTTGCTTATCTATTTATTAACTAACAGTTACACTAATGAGTATAAAGCAGTATCACATTGTGTGTTTGATTTGTGTCTCCCTAACAATTAGTGATGTTGAGCATCTTTTCATATTCTTTTTGTACATTTGTATATATTCTTTGAAGAAATGTCCATTCAAATACTTGTCTACTTTTGAATTAGGTTGTTTTTTGTTGTTGTTAAGTTGTAGTATTTTTTTCTTTTTTAAAGAGACTCATGCTATACGGTGTGAGTGCTCACTGGAGAAGCAGAGAGACAGAGACAGAAATAAAGAAATTGTCCCCAGAGGATGGCCACACTGCAATGCCTTCTTTTGCATTCTCCTCTTGAAATTTTAGGCACATATGCACACGCACCTGGCATGAGTTTCAAGTCCCCGGGGTCAAGGACTTGAACCACATCAACCACATGGGAATCCAGCATCTTAACCAACACACCACTTGCTGGCCCATATATTCTAAGGAACAATCCCTCATCAGATATATGACCTGTAAATATTTTCTTACATTCTTTGGATTGCATTCCACTCTGTTGTTATTTTCCTTTGTTGCATAAGAGTTATAAATTATTTTTAAGGACCAGCAGATGATATAATGGCTACGTCGCTGGACTCCCATCTAGTCGACTGTGGTTCGAGTCCTGGACCCAATGGCTTACACTCACACAGGGCACGTGTGCACACGTGCCCAAGATCCTGAGACGGGAATGGAGGAGAGGAGATTGTGGCATGGCCATCCCCCCTGGGGGGTGGTTTCTCACTTTCCGTCTCTCTGTCTCTCTGGTGAGCACACGTAACCTATTTTAAAACCCCCCCAACAAAAAAAAAAAAAAAAAAAAAAAAGTTATTGATGATTTTTAACCTTTATGATGGATAAAGGGGCTGGACTCCCACATGGCTAACCATGGTTTGAGTCTCAGACCTGGTGGCTTACTCTCTCTCTCTCTCTCTTTTTGTCTCTCTATCTCTCTCTGGTCAAAATTGAAAAATAATGATAAAAACCAAATAATTCTTTTAAAAAAAGGTTTTCAAGAAATATAAGGAGGGACCAGCAGTTGGCATAATGGCTATGTCACTGGACTCCCATGTAGTTGACCGCGGTTTGAGTCCCGGACCCGGTGGCTTAAAACTCACGCCAGGCGCGTGTACATACATGCCCAAGATCCTGAGAGGAGAAGGGATTGCAGCATGGCCATTCCCCCTGGGGAGTGATTTCTCGCTTTCTGTCTCTCTGTCTCTCTCTGTCTTTCTGGTGAGCGCGCATGCCCTATAGCAAATAATAATAATAAAACAAACAAACAACAACAACAAAAACTCTCAAAAAAAAAATAGAGAAAAGAAATATAAGGGGAAATTTTCAAGGAATTACATATTCCCAACTAGAACTCTTAAGCAATTGTATAAAATTAGTTTATAGGGAAGATCTAACTTACGAGAGTGGCTCCTGATTTATGTGCAAATTCAGTCTATTCTTCTAAATCAACTTCAGCTGCATTCCTACTTTATATTACTACTACTATACCAAACATTTTATTCTTCCATAGTTTCCAAAATAAATTTGGATACATTGCCTCACACCAACAATCCTGTCTGGTTTTTTGAGAGATTTTTTTTGCTATAGGGCACGTTCCCTTACCAGAGAGACAGAGAATGAGAGAAAGAAACTCAGAAATCACCCCCAGGGGGATGGCCATGCCACTATCCCCTCCATTTTTCTCTTGCGACTCTGGCATGCATGCACAGGCACCCGTCATGAGTTTCAAGCCACTGGGTCTAGGACTCAAACCATGGTTGACTATGTGGGAGTCAAGCACCTTAACCACTATACCACCCGCTGACCCCAACCTGGCCTGTTATTATCCACATTTCATAGGTAAAAAAACTGAGGCTATTCTAGGTTCAAGTATTTTATCCAAGGTCAAAAGACTAATAAGTCAGTATATTAGTTTTTCCAGCTAAGTACATTAATTTTTATAACATTCTACTAAACTTTTTTTACTTTCAGATTTTTGTCACTGGGCACGTGTGCTAGCAGAAGAGAAACAGAGAGAAGGAAAGTAAGAAATCACCCCCTGGGGTGATTCTCTTCTCGTCTGATCTCCTCCCAGGACTTTGGGCATGCACATACACACACCTGGTGTGTGTTTCAAGCCACTGGGTCCAGGACTTGAGCTTCACAGCCAGCCATATGAGATCCAGTGCCTTAACCACCATACCACCTACTGGCTCTCTACAATAATACACATCTTGATTAACAGTCTTCATATACTATCAAGTATTAGATAATCAAAAATGAATTATGCTATATATAATGTACTTTCTTTACAAGAGCAGTAAATTATACAAATCCATCTTAGCAAGGTAGCTAATGGACGCCAAGACATAAAAGCATTCAGTAAACACTTTAATCATAAAATTATAAATAATCAAGATTTATATTACAGCATTTAAAGCATGTAAATATTTTATATGAACATCATTCATAATGTGTCTCTTGGGCAAAATACTAAGCATTTCTAAAGGAGGCTACTTCAAGACCCAGTAAGATTAGGGTGTTAAAACAATTTTTAAAACTCTATTTCATTCACATCAGTTAACAGATTGATTTTTTTTTTCAAGAGATTTTTGCTATAGGGTGTGTGCGCTCACCAGAAAGACAGAGACAGAGAGACAGAAAGCGAGAAATCACCCTCCGAGGGGATGGCCATGCCACAATCCCTTCTCCTCCATTCTCCTCTCAGGATCTTGGGCATGCACATGCACCTGGCATATGCTTAAGCCACTGGGTCCAGGACTCGAACTGCAGTCGATTATATGGGAGTCCAGCAACATAGCCATTACGCCATCTGCTGGTCCTAATAGACTGATTTTTTTTAATGAATTCACTGATTCTACTTTTGATTCAAGCTCAATAGCCAAATTTCAAATTTGAAAAAATATGCATATTAGTAATAATATTCAACTTAATATAATGCTCCTGACAAAAGAGCTGGAAAGTCAAATCTCATCAAATAATCTTATAAATGGTAAGAATAAGAAGGTTAATTATAATAGAATTAATGATACAGTTATAATTTTCTGAGAAGACAATGTAAATATATCAGGTTCTATTTTTTTATAATTACTTAACTTTATTATTATTATTATTATTATTTCATATTTAAGCAGAAAGAGAGGGAAAGTGAGAAAGCAAACTTCAGGTCTGGGACTCAAACCATGGTAGACCAAGTGGGAGTCCAGCATCTTAACCACCATGCCACCTGCCAGCCTCCAGGTTCTGTTTTAAACATGAATTATTTGTCTTTGCAACAACATTAAGGGACCTATCACTATTATTCCCCAAAGAAACTGAAACTTAAGACATTAAATAACATGCCTACATTACACAATTAATATATGGTAAAACTAGGATCTGAACTTGGACAGAACTAATTTCATAGTAACTAAAAGGTGTGTAATTCATAAAGGTTAACTATTGTAAAACAGTGCAATAAGTAAAGAGAAGTGTTTCAACAAGTTCTTACCTCTTCAGGCAGTTCACTGTACATGGTTTCAGAGGTAGACAATAAAAATATAGGAGAAAATGATGGTATATCTTGTAGCAATGTCAGAAAGGTTGCCCTCACAGTTTCACTGACAGCTTCCCACCAATCACCAATGTGAGGCATATAAACAATACTAGGTACTGTTCTTCTTGCTTCACGAAAAATCTAATGAAGGAAAGAACCATCTTTAAAAACTTAAGTTGATTATTCTACAATCTACTCAGAAACTGCCAAATATATAAAATATGTCAGGCCTAATTCCAGGCCCAAAATTAAATCTTTAAGATATTATACATAAGCCTTACTAACAGCTGCTACTTACCCCCATCCCTCCTCCATGGTTTTTGTTTTCTTTTCCTCATCTAGTTACTTCTATTCAGACTATATTAATAGTATAAAGACATAAAATTACTTAAAAATAAAAAAGCAAAAATAATAAATTAAAAATAATAAAGAAAAACCTATAAAATATGCTGCAAATAAAGAGACAAACATGCACCTGTAAGACACCCATGTTAGTGGTATCAGTACCTCCACAAGGAAAAGCAAGGCTTACATTCAAGGAACTACCTGCTGAGCCACTTTCTTATTACCCCCTCCCAGCATCTTAGTTCAGTCTTTCATAAAGTGGTCATAAAACACTCTTACTTTTCTAAAGAGCAATAAACAAATTAGCAAAGAGCTCTTCCATTGTCAAAAACAAACAGAAATTTTCCCTGCTGTTAAAAAGAATTCTAACTACTGCTTCGGGCAAACTTTGCCAACACACACCAAGGACCAGGTTAGCTGTTAGTAAGCCACCAAGCAGAATTACTGCCCTTTAAATTTAAGTTAACAACTCGTAATCCATCAGTAAATTCTCACAAGTTAAATATGACATCTCATTATTTTTAACAAGTTTAGGTGTAAATGTAAAAACTTGAATATATTTCTTCTAATTTGAGAATTCTATTCTTAAAATTCTCTACTTTTTTAAAATTTCAAACATACATGAATTAGGCTGTATAATATACAAGATGTAGGAAAAAGAATCTAACATTAAAAATGAATAGGATTTGGGACCAGCAGTTAGCGTAATGGCTATGTCGCTGGACTTGGCCCACGTAGTCGACTGCGATTCGCGTCCCGGACCCGGTGGCTTAGCCGGGCGCATGTGCGTGCATGCCCAGGATCCCGAGAAGAGAATGGAAGAGAAGGAATTGCGGTGTGGCCATCCCCCCTGGGGGGGCGGTGATTTCTCGCTTTCTATCTCTCTGTCTCTCTCTGTCTGGCGAGCGCACGCGCCCTATAGCAAAAACCTCTCCAAAAAAAAAAAAAAATGAATAGGATTACCAGAAACATTTCTAAGAATCAAAAGGATTATTTTTCTTTAATGAATTAGCTTACCACTTAGATGAATTTTTTAAAGTAATACATTTTATATAGCTTTAACTCTCCTGTGTGAAATAAAATGTATTGCCAATTCAATGATAAACCATATGTAAGAGGCGCAAATAAGATTTCCCTCCAGTACTGGAAGAGACACAGATGCTAATATGATCGCTCGCATCAAAAGTAATACGTGGCCCTTGCTCCCTTACTAGTTGCATATCCACCAATCCACGACAGTGTACAGCACAGCTCCTTCGCAACTCAAACATTCTTATCTTTTCCTCAAACACATACCTTCCTATCCTGGATTTTGAAAATCCAAACATTAATTTTTTTTCTTAAGTTCTTACAGAAAATTCATAGGAGAAGAGCAAGCATCAATACTGGTAGGGAAAAAAAAAAAACCCAAAAGAGCACAAAGGTAAATGATATTAAAAAAAGAAAAAACAAAATTACTACATGCCACCCAAATCAGGCACGGTATGTTGAAGATAGTGACCAACTGTTTTTGTCTTAACAAATGGGATTTTTATTTATTTTTTCATTATTTCAAATCCTCAAGAGGTACGGCATTATATGGGTTCTGTGTCCAATGGCCTTAGCAGGAAGGTTCCTTCGGAATTTGGCTTAAAGCATGTCACTGGTTCCATGGGCACGAGTAAACCTTTCCCCAGATGACTCTGGTTTTACTTGGTTTGCCACCAGGAGTCCCTGTGCTGCTTTTTGCATGGTACACATAAGCACACCTCTTGCCTAAATAGAAGACCAACTGAACTTGCTATTGAAAGTAGTTAGATTATTTAAGAAATTTTGTGAATCAATCAAATGTGTGTGTGGGTGGGGAAGGAATGGAAAATAGCTGCAGACACCTGAGATAGTGTGGGAGGAGGGTGTAAAATGGGAGAGGGTGAGAAATAGGGGTAATATATATATAACATGCATGATTAAGTCACTATGCAGTATATTCTGAGTATATTCTGGAGGGGAAATCACATTTTGTATGCTGTGATGATACTCAGGGAATGAATATAAATTAATTAATTTTTTAAAATGTTTGAGGAGAAAATTACAGTGCACTTGTCACTAGATTCTAGCTTTGTCCATATTTTTAAAGTATTTTGTGAATCAATAAAATGTGGGAAAATAGTATGGAAGAGAGAGAAGGGAAAGGGGAAGAGAAAAAAAAAATAAAATTATGCTTAATTGACCAAAAAAAAAAAGAGAAGCTATTTGCTGATAAGTTATAGAGCAATAATGTCTTTGGCTTGACCGACATGCATAGTATTTGTGCTGGAAAAAGAAATGTACACTGTAAAGATGTGACTAAGTGTAAATAGATAAATTAATTTATAAATAGACAGACAGAATGAATTCCATTTCATCTCAGGCGTAAACACCGTCAATTTTAAGAACTGTGTGCTCCCTTTGGTTTTTGCTGCGTAGCCAGCAAAAATGGCCTTGAATCAAAGCCTTCTAGACATAGTTGCCTTTCAGATGCACTGTTCCCAGCAGACCTCAGTTATCTGTCCCTAAAACTCAGCAGCAGGATCCTTGTGACCAACTCCTTTTGTCACTTTCTAATTCCCTGCTCTGTGCTGGTAAAACTAGAAAGAGCGAATGGATAGAGAAAAGTAATAAGAAAAAGACTGTCAAGCTATAGCTTACTAAGCAAACTTACAAAATCAGTCCACCTAAATCAGTCATGCAGGTTACATGTCCAGGGCAGAAAAGAGATGAGGAAATGAGCTTTGGAAAGAAAGAAAGAAAGAAAGGAAGGAAGGAAAGGAAAGAAAGGAAAGAAAGGAAAGAAAGGAAGAAAGAAAAGAAAAGAAAAGAAAAGAAAAGAAAAGAAAAGAAAAGAAAAGAAAAGAAAAGAAAAGAAAAGAAAAGAAAAGAAAAGAAAAGAAAAGAAAAGAAAAGAAAAGAAAAGAAAAGAAAAGAAAAGAAAAGAAAAGAAAAGAAAAGAAAAGAAAAGAAAAGAAA